AAGATATGCAACTCTAGGGATCAGAGCCAGCCAAACTAAGCAACATAAAAAGATGTGCAAACTGGCTTCCCCAAAGAATCCAATTAAACTGCAGGCAAAGGTTTCCACAGTCACCCAGATCTGATGGAATCGGAGGCCAGGGATGAAGGCCCCTAGACACATCTAGCCAGTGCAGAAGATCAAGGCAGTGAAGGCCTCAGAGATGGTAACTTGCCCCAGGTTTCACTGCAAGAGTATGTTAGGGACAAAACAAAGCAAGAGCCCAGCCCCTGGCAGAGCACAGTCCCACACTGCCAATCCTGTCTCCACACTCTCTACAGTCCAAGGAAAAAACCTGAGTGTGGTCAACAAGACCTCATATCCCAACCATGCTGTAATTAGGCAAAAGGATTTGTTAGGGGGCAATTTCCTTTAAAAGAAAATCAATTAAGCCCTGTGTTCCCTCCCCTGTATGACATAAAAACTAAGTGTGGCTGTGCATGTGTGTAACCCCAGCACTTGGGAGTAGAGACACAGCCATCCTTGGCCACACAACAAGGTCAAGGACAGCCTGAGCTACACGAATCCCTGCTGAGAGAGGTGAGATGAGACCAGAGAGAGCACACAGCATCCTCACCACAACTCCCCAAGAACTGGAAGCATCCATAGAGCCCATGGTAAGGTATCTTAATGGTGTCTACGTCTGAAAAGCTAAATTTATGAGGACTATGTGAGCTTTTAAAGAATCCCCCACTCAGAGACGCACAACTGTACAAGGATTATCTGTCAAGTGACCACTTACACCTTGAGATCTTAGTAGGAGCCCTAGCCTCAAGGAGAGGCCCTAAGGCTACCTGGGTGATACTTGAGAAAAGAACCACATACTGTGCTATTCGTGTCATTGAAAAGTATCCACAGAGAGCCTAGACGGGACAGTCTGGGTGTCCTGCAGGTAGAGCAAAGAGCACATCATAGGACCTCATGTCATCAAAGGCTATGGAGTTTATTGTAAATAGAGCCATTGAAGAACCTGGCACTAGAGGGTGAACTCAGCAGGCAGACTTACATTCTAGACAATCTCACATCTGTTGACGGCTTGTGGCCAAGTGCTATACTGTGTAAAGCTAGCTATTGGTCCTTCAGGGATATTTTTGCACTTATCATTCATATCCAGGATAATAGTAAAAAGAGCGCATTCTGGAGCTGTGCAGAGCTAGGCTTCCTTCCCACCCTACCTGTCGCTGCCTGCGTGGTTTTGAACAAATTATTTAAATAGGCCTGAGCCCTCCCTTTCACTTCTCTACAATGGAGGTAATGATACCTTGCTCGTAGGGTTTTGAAGTGCTCATGGATCCTTCACAGATGAAGATGGTGTGTGTGTGTGTGTGTGTGTGTGTGTGTCTGTTACTCAGGATTGAACCTAGGATCTCATGCATGCTAGGCAAGTGCTGTACAACTTATTATATCCCCAGGCCTTATTAAAACATTCTACCAAAGGGGATAAAGAGGTGGCTCCGTAGTTAAGAACACTGGGTCTCCTGCAGAAGTTCAATTCCCAGGGCTCACAGGGTAGCTCATAACCATCTGTAACTTCGGTTCTAGGAGATCTGATGACTTCTTCTAACTTCTAGGCACACACATACTACACAGACATATGTGCAGGCAAAACACCCATATACACAAATAAACTTAAAAAGTAAAATAAAATTCTATCAGAGCATATCTGGAAAAAAAATATAGCATTCTTATTTTGTTAATGAAGAAGGCAAGGTAAACTAAGGTCAAAGCCAGCTCTGGATATGACTCAAACCACCCAGAAACAGTGCTGCGGAGAATTAAACAGAGTTGCAAGGGGCCAGTATCATGAGAGAAAGCTCTGGTCACCATAGCAACTTTTTTAACCAAACACTGGAGATCTGCTGGCGTGTACAATACCAACGACATCTGGCCTTTCTATTATCCCCTCACGAGTAAAAAAATAAGAGTGAAAACGGGAATAAAATGCCCTGTAAACTAGTCTTTAGGCCAATCACACACCCCTGTGTCTCATGTTTATGCTGGCGCCTCTGGCCTAGGTTTTTAGAACACTCTGGAGCCACGCCTCTCTTTTGAAGAGCAAGTCTTACAGTAAATTGCCCCAGGGTGCATTTCTGCTGAGTTTCACTTTTTCTCAGCAAGATAAGTGCAATGCATCATCTGTCAGCTGCATATGCAAAGCACTATGGGATGTTCCATAAGAAATAAGTGACAATGGTCATGTTGCAACAAGAAGGTAGGAGGGGCTCTGAGGCTGCTTCTATCACCTCCCATGGTTCATTGCAGGAGGGGCTCCAAGGCTGCTTCCATCACCTCCCATGATGCATTGCAGAAAGGGTTCCGAGGCTGCTTCTGTCACCTCCCATGGTTCATTTATTCATTTACCAATTTCATTATGGAAGTCACTCATGCTGTGCAACTCACTCAGCACCAAAGCTGGAGTGAGACCTACCTCCAGTTGTATATCTACTACAGGCAAGGCCACCTCTGCCTCCTGTGTCTGTTTCTGCATCAGCAGAGGGCAGCTCTAAATTCCACTGTTTCCCAGACACTATTCTAGACCCTTCTTCCCTTCAGTTGATGAGAGGACTGTCACAGTGCTTGTAAATATGTGGTGTTCTGAAGATCCCCAGTCCACATCAGAGATTTCGACTCCCAATGTGGGCTCTAAGCAGACATTGGTGGAGAGCCAGGAGCTTGTGGGACAGTGGACAGAGGGACCTCCAGAGAGCAGTATCCCCTGTTTCATACAACAAGCATGTGGCCTTCTGAACTAATTGGCCCAGAGCAACGCTAAGATCTGAAGGCAGTGGGACCAGACCTCAGCTCCAGCAGCCCAGAATCTCCTTGTATCTTTAAGGAACCAAGGCCCCCAAAGCTATTAGTGGACATTGGGTGTCTAGGAAAGAAAGCAGAGTAGGTAGCTCAGTAAAGCCCAATTCTGAGTTCTCAATGTGGGACTGTATCACAGACAGCCATAACATCGTGAAGGAAAGACCCTCACATGGTGTCACCAGAAAACTGTCACCAGGGCAGGTTCACTCAGCTATAAAAGAACCACCTGGCCAGGGGAGACTTTACATTTGCAAGTGTTCACCCCTAAAGTTGGACAGAGCCTAGAGTTCTGGGTGGGAAAATGGGGGATGATTGTCTTAGTGGAGCCCCAATAGAGACCCAGTAAAGCTTGGTCCTACAAAGCACATCACCTTGTGACATGCTCACACCAAGGACCCCAGTGCTGGCACCTGTGTGGGGTATCATAATCCTAAGCAGGTACAATCTGGTTGAGTCTAGCTCTTTCTGACCCAGACACTAGCTAACATGGCATCTGGGGAAGGAATTTCCAGACCGTTGCTAATGATCCCAAAGCCTCTGCTTTTCCCAAGAGGCTTCAGACAGCTCCATTCTGACTGAGACTCTCCCGGTCTTTCGTCCAAAACATCTTAGGAGGTTTCTTCTTGTAGAGAAGCAAACTGTCTCCTCTGTCATGAGAGGCAAAGCATTTATAGATAAAACAACTGCGGTGTGTGGCTGGGGTGTGTGCTGAAGACAGTAACTAGAGAAACACTCAGGGAAGCAAAGGAAGACTTGAGGCCAGAGTTATGGGGAAGATGGGTGGGGATGTGGGCCTCTGTCCATGACTCGAAGGATGGGGCTCACAGGAAAGGAAGGGTTCACCTTGCCTCCTCATCTCCCACTCCACACACACTTGCAGCTTGACGACTCAACACAGGACAAGTCTTTGGTCTCTGTCTCTATCTGTGTGTGTGTGTGTGTGTGTGTGTGTGTGTGTGTGTGTGTGCCCACGTTTGTGTCCCTCTCTCTCTCTGACTCTCTGTCTGTCTCTGTCTCTCATCTCTGTCTCTGTCTCTGTCTCTCTCTCTTTCACACACAAACACACACACATACACACACCATGTTTCTTAAGTTCTACAGCCTGGCTCTCTGCACTCCCCTTCCGGCCCTTCTCTGGGGTCTGGTGAGAACTGGGGGCTCTCTGGACATGCCTCTACCAAGGCTAGAATTACAGGCCACACATCAGTGTGGAGAGATAGTCAGGCAGTGCTCTATCCCAGCAGTAGGAGAATGAGCACGAGGAGGAAAAAAAAAAGGCATACTCAGAGGTGACACCACAGGGCTTTCCTAGGAGGGAAGATGATTCTGTGACACATGGTAGGGACAGCCACAGATGCTTCATGGGCCTGGGAAGCCAAGGAAAGCTGGGAGCACACGGGGTGGCCTGGAGCACACAGGGAGAATCTCATAAGAAGGCATACATGACAGGAGTTCACAGAGCTGGTGACATGCATAAGAGACTCTGCCACAGGAAAGTGTAGGGCCTGGTGCCTGGTAAAAGAACACAGAGAGAGCACAGCAGGAAGTGGGGCTGCCTCAGGCTGGCTTCAGGCTCTGTACCCTCCAGAGCCTGTTTGTGGAGAGGACACAGGGGTCTCTCAGCATTGTCCTGTCAAATCCCTAGGAAGCCACACATGGAAAAAGCCAAATTCAGAGATATAGCTGTTCAGCAATGAAATGTCTCTGGTGGAATTTCTTACAAGAAGAGGTTTAGACAGGTGCCTGTGGCCAGCCCAAAAGCAGTCTAGGGTACAGGGCCTGGGGAAAGGGACTTGTTTCTCAACCCCAGAGAAAGGAACGCTGGTGACACCCTACTGACAAGGCTAAAAGTAAATAGGACACCCTTCATAATGTTATCGACCCTAGCATCGACCCTCTTCTCTCCCCACCCAAGACAGTGAGAGACTGTAAGGGAAATGGATTGTGACAATTTTGAGACCCAGCCAGCTCAGGAAGGGACAAAGATTCAAAGAGACGAGTGGCTAATGTGATATCAGGTCACTAGGTCATCAGGTCACTAAGTCAGCAGCACCATGTCACTGTACCTCTTGTCCCTCAAGGGCCACCATGCTCAGTACTTGCTCTACCTTAAGACACTGGTTCATGGTCCTCCTCTGATTCTCTTCCAGGGACGCTGTATCAACTTCACCAGAGTGAAGAACAGTCAGCCAGCCAAGTATCCCCTCAACAACACCTACCACCCCAGCTCCTCACCTCCTGCGCCTATCTACACACCCCCACCCCCTGCTCCCCACTGCCCTCCCCCAGCCCCCAGTGCCCCCACTCCTCCCATCCCTTCCCCACCATCCACTCTCCCCCCTCCTCCTCAGGCCCCACCCCCTAACAGGGCACCGCCCCCCTCCCGACCTCCTCCAAGGCCTTCTGTCTAGAACCCAAAATCCGAGCTCTGGGCTGCCTGAGCAACTCCAGCAGGAGGCTCCTCTGCTGACAGAAAGATCTGCCCAGCCTACGTGGTGAGCGACGGCTGATGTTTGCACGATTTAAAAGCAAGTCGTGATGGGCAGAACAAAATGGGAATTTTGAACTGCCTGAAGACAGACAATGAGACAATGACAGTCACATTATAGCCTGTGACCCCTCACCTCTCGAGGAAGGTTCCAGAGATGGCCACACTGCCATGGTGCTCTCAGCCAGATTATGTCCCATGGAGACCAGGGAGAAAGTGATTTCTGAGAATGGAATGCAGCATTGGATAAGAAACACCCTGACTGAGATTCTGAATGCCACCTCACTGATCTGACTCTTGACCCTTGGACTGGGAACCAGGCCATCCTTACCCCTGGGTACCACCCAGCAACTCTGGAAATGTGTGGTGTCCCTAGTATGCATCAAATAGGTATCCAACTAGGATCTGCAGGTTCCCTTATATAAGAATATATGCTCTATTCTCTTTCCCAAATTTCCTGGTTTCCCAGTGAAGAGAGAAGGGGAAAGGTGCTGTCATGCTTAGAAGTGGAGGAAGTCAGTGCTTAGCACTGATGAAAAACTGTTGATGGGAGCTTCCAGCTGGTACATCTAGAAATGGCTGGCTTCAGCCAGGCTTAGGTCCTAAAACAACAAGCCTTGTCATTGTCAAAGGCAACCTGCTACTGATTCACTTTAAACATCAAGGTTGGTTATAGCATAGATTAAACCTGATCACCCAGAACCTTCCACATGAGACCACAAGGTCCTTCATCTCCAGTACACCAGAGATTTCTAAATCCAGCTAAGAGACAGCAGTCCTGTCTTGGTAAGAAAACCATTTCCAGTTGATTTACTTTGAAGCAGGCCATTGTATGTACAGTATAGCTCCCCTTGGCCTTTCACCCTGCTCACAAAATTTACCAGTTATGAAACAAGGAGAAATACATCCATTGTGTAACACAAAAACTCTGTCTGAGACCTCACCCCACTCCTCCACATTATTCTGAAGCTGCTTGATCAGCGAGCCCTTTAACCTCATGTAAACCCTGGACACTGTCACCCAACCATGAAAACAGAGGTCATTGTCAAAGGCAGTGTACAGCCCATCCAAAGTGATGTTTCCTTCCTCAGTTTTCCACAGGTCCCAAAATTCCTGTCTCAGGCTCCAAAACCTCTAAATTCTTCCCTGCAACAAATGGTTTAAAATGAGCCTAAGTTTTTATGCTTTTTGCTGTGATTTCCAAAGATCCTTCAAGAACTCAAGTTAGCCTCATTCTTTCAGCTTGTTTAGAACAGAGGCATCCAGGTGTGGTGCACTCCATAGACACCAATCCTTGTTCCCAAGGCAGACATTATTAATCAATCTCAGCACTAGTTCTCAATTTAATCCAATTATATTTTCCCACAGTACTTCACATCTCTTTTGACCTGTCAGTCATCAGTTAGAATTGAGAGAGGTAAACACTATTTGTAATCCCTACCTTAGAAAGAAAAGCAGAGGAGAGTGGGGAAACCACCAGCATAAAAAGTATTGTCTGGGGAAAATCAACCTGGAAGAACACCCAAGTCCAAGACCTGTGGTGCTGACACCTAAGTAACACTTTCCCAAGTATACCCCAGACCTCACCCTTCTCCCTGTGGCTGCCACTCCCTGCTTTTCAGGAGTTATGAAAAAGATCTCCCTCACCCTTACTGTGCCCCCACACTATCCTCTTGTAGAACAAGGCTTGTTTAATGTAGTCCCTTGTTAAACAGGGGCCAGAATGTCTCAGCCACCTGAGGTGACATTGCTGAGCCCAGAAAACCATTCCAAAGAGAATGGGCTCCCCAGGCTCAAAGGATGCAGACCATGAGCCCATGGTGACTGTTTTGACTGCTGGCAGTACAAAACAGCCCCCCCCCCACTCCTGCTGCACGATTTGTGTAGCCATCAGAAAGTAGGAACCAAGATGCTGGCATTGCTGTTCTATAAGCGTGGGCTCCCGGGAAGGCAGCAGACTCCAAGAGCAGGCTACCCTGTGCCTTGTGCAGTGTCCCAAGAGGCCGTGGTAAAGTGTCTGAGGAAAAATGAATGCTGATACATGGCGATTCTGAGAAGAATTTGCAAGGTTTGACCTTAGAATTGACTGAATGTCCTCCCTAGTCATTCAGAATTATGGTTAGAAGTTTCTAGAAACTGTCAAGGTTACTACCTTTCATAGTAGGTTACTACAGGCAGGAAAAGCCTTGACATGGTTTACAAAGTCCATGGGTTCTGTGTCATTCCCTGTAAGCAACAGAGATGGTGATTGTAATTAGCAAACTGCATGTGTTATTTGTTTGACCCCTTGTTATTGTCCTTACGGAGGTTTTCCTTTTTTATACAAGCCAAATTTTGTTGTATATATTCATATTCCACGTGACAGATGGAAGCACGTCCTATCAGTGTGAATAAAAAGAACAGTTGTAGTAAATTATTAAAGCCGGTGATATTTCATGGCAGGTTACCCTACCAAGCTGTGCTTGTTGATCTCCCATGACCATTCTGCTTTTACAATGTACAAATAGTTACTGAGTGACGACACCCTCCTTTACTCAACGCCAAGGACAGCCTTGCTGAGAACTGCAGTCCTTCTGCTGTGACAGCCAGCTCAGAGACAGATCCTGCCTGGAGCTTGGCACACACTTTTGGGAGACATAAGAGCTGTCTTTCCCCAGCATCAGGGACAAAGCTACCATAAACAAGTGGGAAAGTCTTGGCTCTCCAGCCTGGGACAGGGGTCTCGCTGGAAGCCCAAGGAGAAGCGGATATGATCCTCACTTGCCACTTGCACACAATATGATGGTGGAAAATCCATCAAAGAATTATCGTGAGAGAACGGCCAACAGTTCAGGAGCAAAAGGGATTCATGCTGTGTAAAGTGGGTGGAATTTGTTTGCAAGCTATGCAAAACCTGTTCGTACTCACCAGGCGGATGGAAAGGTTTTTTAGTTATCTGAGCTCAGCTGCGTTATCACGCTTGAAGAACCGATTTAAAAGAATTAGAATATGATTTCTGAATACACATAACATTAAACTCTTCTCTCTTTCTATCGCAATTTAGTTACGGATGTTCAGCATCTCTGAGTTATTGTTATAAAAGGCTTGTCATCACCGCACTGTGCTCTAGGAGACTGGGCTGAACCTGTACAATGGTATACCCTGGAAGTTGCTTTTTTAAAAAAATAATGATAATAAATACCTAAAATCAGTGCTTTTTACTTGTTATTTCTATGCTTGTCATAAAAACAAAGTGCATGTGCTTCAAATAGTTACCAAGGATCATAAAAGCATAGCTAGAGGGCTAATGCTTTGGCTTAGCTGGTAAAGGAGCCTGCTGCCAAGGCTGACAACCTGAGCCCAATCCCTGGGACCCACATGGTAGAAGGAGAGAACCCACTCCTGAAAATTGTCCTCTTGTCTCCCTGTGCACACTAAAGGACACAAGCATCCACACGCATGCACACAGAGATACAAAAGAAATGTAAAATCTTTAAACAAAAGAAGTACTATTCTGTACACTGAAATATATGTTTTTTCCAAATCATTTTCTACCCATTAAAATCTGTACTACCTTCTTTAGCTCTAAGATTTAAAGTGGTCCTCATTTCTAGTAATAATTTTCAAATTTAAAAGTGCATTCTTGGTAAATGAAAAATAGAATCCAAAGAAACGAAAATGCAAACAAAAAAAAATGAACTGAGGCAGAAACAGGAGAATGGCTGCTAGTTAATGGCTAGCCTGGGCTATATAGTCAGCTCCTATCTCAAATTAGCAAAAGAATACTGTGTTGTTAGGATTTGAGTCTGAAACACGCATGCGCGCGCGCACACACACACACACACACACACACACACACACACTCACACACACACGCACACGCACACACACAAGTTTCTATATTTGAGCACCTGGTACTCCAAAGTTTTGAGGTGTTACCAGACCTTCAGGGAGTGGGATCTGGATGGCAGAGAAGAGTCACTGGGCAGGATTGAGGGTTAAAGCTGCGGGTCCACCATGTGAGAAGTAGTGGCCACCAGGGATCCACTCGACCACACCCTCCTTCCATGAGGCTGTTCACTCTGTGACTGAGACGAGAGAGCCTGCTGTCCCTGAAGGGAAGGCCAGGTGCTTGCCCTTATGCGGAAAGTAATGAATATAGCCAGTGAAGACTGGTTTGGTTGCTGAGGCAGAAAGGAAATGGTTCTTCTCCCAGAGCTGCTGGCCGGGAACTACTGTGGAGAGCCCGTGTCTATCACAGAATACACTACTGTTTTTATGGTATCTCTGCGTGATCCCAACGCTTTCCTTCCTAAACCTCCCAGTGCAGCTGTTTGCATTTAGGGAGACGGGTCTCTTACTAGTTCCCGGGTTTGTTTCATATGACTTCATTACGACTAGATTCGCCTTAAGCAGAGTAAGAAGATCTGTAAACACAACCGGGCCACCATTTTTTCCAAATTTCATTACTATTCACTTAGGATGTACACTTTGAATATGCCACATTTTTTAAGTTGCATCCTTAATACACAATCTGAGATAATTAACAGGAATTTGAAAGGAAAACAAGAAAAGCTGGAATCTTCTCGTACTCCTTACACCAACATTGATTGCAGTTAGCTTATATTGGGAAAATGGAGCTGGAGGAATGGTCCGCAGTTAAGAGCACCTGCTGCTCTTCCAGAGCATCTGAGTTCAGTTCCCAGCACCCATATCAGGAGACCCGCAAGCACCTGTGACTCCAGCGCTAGTGGAATCCAACGCCCTCTTCTGGCCTTTGAAAGAACTGTTCCTAGACGCTCATATACACGCAAAATAAACACATGGAAACATAAATAAAGGCAGGAGAATAACTCTTTCTTAAATGGAAAAATGTTTGCTGTATGGTAGAAAGAACTTAAGATGTTTGCATTCCACTGGCATGACCTGTCGACTTTCTCCTGAAATCACTTCCAGTTCTCTGAGCTGAATATGCAGAGATGTCATCAATGGACCAGCTGCTGGCTGTGAACAGGAGCTTAAGTTCCTTGCATGCTCACCACTAAATCCCATCATCTGTCTTCAGTTCAATTTGTCTTAGTTAAAGTTTAGTTTGCTGTGATGAAACACCATTACCAAAAGCAACTTGAGGAGTTTGCTTTCATTCACAGTTCCACATCAGAGGAAGTCAGGGCAGGAACCTAGAAGCAGGAACTGAAGCAGAAGCCATGGGCGTGGGGGTGACGGGCTTACTAAATTTCTCTTGATCACAGTGCTTACTTATACCATCCAGAACCACCTGCTGAGGGGTGGCGCTGCACCCTATGTCTGAGCCCTCCCATATCAACTATTAACCAAGAAAATGCCCCACAGACTTGCCTACAGATATATCTATGAAAGCATGTTCTCAGTTGAGGTTCTCTATAGCTTGTTTCAAATTTATTTTTTAAAAAAATCAGCACATTGTCTTTTGAAATATTCATATTCAGATATAAAAAATTAGAATACTATAATATATACATTATAATATAAAATATATGTTATATTTCTGTTGCTGTGAAAAAAAAGTACCCAGACCAAAAAAAAAAAAAAAAAAGTAACACAGAAAAGAAGGGGTTCTTTTGGCTCACAGTTCCATAGGCCATGCAGTCGGTCACCACGTGGGGAAGGCATGATGCCAGGATCATGAGGCTAGCCTGGACTCATGTACACACAAGAAGTAAACAGTGGGAACCAGAAGTAGGGCCAGGCTACAAAACCTCAAAGCTGCCCCCCAGGGGTATACTTCCTCCAGCAAAGCTGGAGGTTCTAAAATTCCCCAAACAGCACCACCAGCCAGGCACCAAGTATTCAAACACATGAGCCCATGAGGGCCATTTATCACCCAAGCCACCACGTGTGCCAGGCAGGGCTGGCGTACACCAAATACTTGGTTTTTATTTTGAAGATTGCGCCATAAGCATTGGTCCCACCACAGCTCATGCCAAAGCTAACCATATCTAAGGAGCGCTGTGCTTCCAGCCCATGTGATCGGACTCCTCTCTTGTTCCCTCAGCACTCCTGTAGCCACAGAATTAGAGGTGCTGTCTTCTCTGCTTGGTAGGACATGTTATTTTAATATTTGGGAGTCAAAATTGCAACATCTTTGTCATCAGCTTCCAGTGCCACTGCGAGACATTCTGGTAAAGCAGTGGCAACAATCCACAGAACTTTGTCAGCCAGCAGAGAAGCTCTTTTGAAAGATGTCCAATTAACTATGCAGTCAGGACTTCCAACACATCCTTAGAGGAGAATTAACTTTAAACATTAAAAGTGGGAGGAACTCTCGAGAGGCCTTTTCCCTCATGTAACCATTTGCATTTTTGAAAAAGATTTTTAAAAGCATGGGACCTGTTAGCTGTGTGTGCCACAAATGCAGAAAACATGCTTTCTTCATGAAAGTCCTAAGATGAGGGACCTGTCAGCCACCCATGTGTCAGCCTGTCCAAAACCATTCACCACCCTGGGAGAGCCTCGGCCCGTTCTTCCCCTCTTCACAATCTCTCAGATGCAGGCCTATTGGCATATCCTCCTCTCTGTAGGAGACACCCACCTCTGCAGGGTACACAGTTTATGGCTTTTTAAAAAATATATATATTTATTTTTATTTATATGAGTATATTGTAGCTGTCTTCAGACACACCAGAAGAGGGCATTGGATAGTTGTGAGCCACCATGTGGTTGCTGGGAATTGAACTCAGGACCTCTGGAAGAGCAGTCAGTGCTCTTAACCACTGAGCCATCTCTCCAGCTCAGTTTATGGCTTTTTTCCCAGCTTTATTCTTCATATTACTTATAAGACACCAATAAATGCTGTGAGAGATGGCAGGCTACAATGATGGCTTCCTAATCCTTCCTTTCAGAGGACCAGAGTTTTATCCACCCATGCCAGGCAGTTCATTAACTCTGTTGCCAGGGGATTAGATGCACCCTCCTGGAATCCTTGGGCACAAGCATATATCACACACATACACACCTGCAGGCACAAGTAGGACAAAGATGTCCTAGAAATAAAATCTTTAAAAAAAAAAAAAGATAAACCAGAATCAATGATGTCTTATGTTTCCAGCCATGTTATCACGTAGATAAAGATTTCAGGCAAATCTTGAGTGTCCTATACACAAGACAGAGCTAAACCATTCCAGGATTCATTGCCTGGAGACTGGCTTCTACCTGGGCTCTACTGGGCTCCATCCCCCAGGTTCCCAGTGACGCAATGACTGTGGACCCCTGGCATCCAGTGGAGAAATCACCTTGCAGAGGAATGGTACAAGTCACAGTTATCTCTCCAGCAAGAGGTTTTCTTTCTCACTTCAAACAATCCTTCCTAATTCTGACCCCTGGATTGTCTTCTTCCCTCCAGACATGCATCCGCACAAGGAGCTGTTCTCAGCCATGGCGAGTGTCTTTCCCTCTGGGTCAGTGCTAGGATCACATGGGGATTAGAGATAAAGTGGAACCACTATCTGTTGTGTGGAAATTCCAGATGTTTTCATGCTGTTGCAAAAGAAGTTTTCTTCCAGTTAGCAATAACTGTGTCTATTGGTCAACCAGCCTGTTGACGCGGGGTCTCACCATCGTGTCAAACAGGCAGGGCGTGCAAGAGAAAGGAAGAGAGGCATTGCCCTGTTTGTGGCCGAAATGGGAATTCGGAGGAGGCAGTGTCCTGCTGCTGCTATGTGTCCCTCAGTGCGGCCGAGTCACCAACAATCCATGCACACACTGCCTGTCACACAGTTACCAGCCAATCAATGTCAATTGTGCAGATAAACAGATAAACATAAACAAGGAATTCCTCATTTCCAAGCATTCAAGAAAACTAGCAATAGATATGAAAACATGTCTGAGACAGAATTTCCTTTCAGAAACTTAGGGTCGCAGGTGCTTTGCCTTTGGTCTCAGAAGAGGCAAGGGAATCTTTGCAAGTTCCAGACCATCCTGGTCTACATGGTAAGTTCCAGGCTAGCCAGGGCAACATAGTTCCAGGACTCTGTCTCAGGAAAAACAAACAGCCACAAAGTACTTGCCATGTAAACACGGAGCCTGAGTTTGAATTCCCAGCATCCACATAAAATCTGGACCCAAAAGTTAATCCAGGAGCTAGAGAAGTAGGTCAAAGGTCACTTCCAGCCTAGTTAGCTGAACTGATGAATGTGGGATCAATAAGAAACATCATTATAGTCTCAACTATAAC